GTAACGCGGGCTCCAGCTCAAACTGATGCATAAGTTACTTATATGAATCATTCAATCATTACATGATGAGTCGGATTCGACAAGCAAAATAAGCAGTTGAGGCTATCCATGAAGCCTGTAGACGGCCACATGAACAATGACATTGGAGCATAAGTTTCGAAGTACAGATTCTGTATAGCAAAATTTGAAGGCCTCCAGCATAATTTTTTTTCCGATTGTCTCCTCCCGATGCAACTCCTCTTACACCACCATACTTTATCCGCTAGAAGTTCTGGTGCCTCTAAGGCGTGACCCACACACTCATTAGTGGAAACGCCAAACTCTCAACAAGAGGACGGTGGGGGAATGCAGTAATTTCGCAAAAAGTGTCATGCGGAAAGTGATACTGCTACGTTAAACGATCTTCTTATATATTGGCAACATCAAGATGGGGCAAGGAGCTCTGGCTTGCTCTACGCACGCAGTTGCAATTGATATTTACTTGTTATCCTCCAGAATAAGACGTTATTATGATCTATTTTGCCATGAGTTCCTCATTTCACCCATGCCGTCTTGCAACTAATGCATTGTTAAATGTTTCTTTAAGTGGTCATCCAGGTAATCTTATGCACTGCATGAGAGCAAAGACGGAGCACCAAATTATGCCTGAGGCGAAGTTTTAATTGCGATTTCTCTTCGCTTTAGGGGCGTGAAACCAGGACAAGCTGATATAAAATACTTAGAGACTGCAAAGCGGTTGGATCTCTATGGTTTAGACCTTCACCCCGCACGGGATATGGAAAATGTGGAAATCTACATTGGTGTCGGGTACAGTGGCATTGTCGTTTATCGCGACCGGATTCGAATTGGTCGATTTGCCTGGCCAAAAGTTCTGCGCATCTCCTACAAAAAAAACTGCTTCTATTTAAAGATTCGTCCTGACTATGTAAGTTTGCTTGAGAAAAAAATCATTTACAATAAAAGGCAAATTCTACTTCAGTCAGACAAAACTAATCAGCCATTTATTTAGTGGACCCAATTTTGCTCTTCTAAATTGAGAGAAGACCATTTAAAAGGTGTGCAGATTTGTCAAGTGCCACAGATGCCAATCATCTTTGAAAAGCACTTTTACTACAAAATTGGTGCAAAAGGTAAGCCTAGCTTGAGTTTGGATATGCAGCTAAACTGTGAAGGACGGCCAGCTGAGCATGGGCGAATTCGTTTAACACCTTTTGTGTCGTCCCGTTTAGAGCTAGTTTTGCATACTCTACTCAACACACGTGGGAAATTGGGGATGGGAAACCAAAAGGTCAGCAAGAGCGGGTCGATTTGAAACCAATTTTGGCATGCGCACACCTGTTTTCGGTTAAGGAGAAGCTTATGAAAAATACGTGAACTAGTTTTCAATCGTTTAAGCTGAAAGTATGATGTAGAACAATCAATTACGGTGATTTGGGAACACTGACGGATAGATTCAGCCT